CTCTCACATACTCTCACTCCTCTCTAGGGCTGCAATTGCCCAGCGACTTTTTCCCTGTTCTCAAACACGTTATCCCAGAGGTGCTACCACCATCGCTGATGGGCACAGCCTTGGCCAGCGGCCGGGCCCTCCTTGGGGCGGCTGTTGGACATGGGGGAAGCTTCCAGCAGCTTCTCACAGATGCCATCCCTGTAGCCCCCACTAGTAAAACCTTGCTACACAAACCCAATACAGAAACGTGTCAAGATTGGGTGGGAGGCAATGTATTTGTTTTTACTGCAGAGATCTCTAGAAACAGCCCTATACGTGCATGTGGTTCTTCAGATGATGACCTGAAGCTATCACGAAGAGAAATGCCTATTTTTGTACTCTATTATTTTCATGTTCGGTGATTTATTCAAGACAAATAAGGTATCACATGACTGTGCAGGGAGAGGTCACAGTTTCTCCATTTACTGTCTCTAAGTAGACTAAGTCATATGGATTTTTAACATCTTGGTTCTCTAATACAGACTTTAAGAAGCTTACAAACTTCAGAGGCATGCCAGATTACTCTGAGAATATAAACTTGGAAAAAAATGCTTGTTTTAAGGAATTTAAGCCAGGCACTATTATTAACATAAATCATAATTTTATTTTGGTAATTCTTACTACGTTTTCTAAGAGGCACTTCTGTGGACAGAGCACTACTGTTAAAAGATGCAAAAGTATTACACATTTATGACTGTTGCTTTGTGGTACTGTTATATTGGCAGAAGAAGATGAATAAAAGCAAAGTTCCACTGAAATAAAAATTTCCAATCAATTCAAAGTAGATTTCTGTAAAGAACAACCTCACTGCACAATTAGGAGACTAAAGCACTTATTTCATGAGATACTACTGAAAATGGGGCTGTTTTTCTTGTATAAAACCATCTGCAACTACAAGTCTCTGTTATCTAAGTTTCTCAAGGCCTTTATGATTCGTAACTTCAGACATCTTTACAATAAATATTTTTATTCCAAACAGGAGAAGAGCTGTAGAAATTCAATGACTGTCAGTGGCAAAGCTACAACTCCCAAATCCTACCCTCTCTTCTGCAACTATTTCAAGGACCACGTCCCTTTTATCTGTGCCACATTATGTACTGTCCAGAAGTAAACGGTACAAAATGCTTATTTGTAAAGGCTGCTGTGTAGTGAGGAAAGACCATTTACAACTTCCAAATAACTTTCCCACAGAAGTACAGGAAAATATTTTAAATTACATCACTGATCAGCTCCTTGATTTTTTATTAATTTCCAGACTGGTCAACAAATCGGTTTGAAACTCAGAAACTCAACTGAATCCTATTCAGATCAAGAGGGACACACCACTTAAGATCTCTTTCGGGAAGAGAGACAAATCCAGACAAATTTTCACTATATACAATCCACAACAACAGGTAATGAAAACCAGAAAAATCACCCTTCTAATAGGTAGTACAGATAATTGCATAGTAAATGTTGTGTGTGTAGCAACTGAGATATGCTCAAGTTTACTTCAATCCAGTCTGGACTTTTATAAGTGCTGTTATTAAACCCAAACAAAAACCCCAACACCAACAATATAACACATATGTTAGTTCTCAAATGATGCTTTCAAATCTGTTCTCAACTCGCTTATCCCTCTCCAAAATATGGTTTGCAGCCACATTCGGAACCATTTCCAGGCTCTAAGTGCAGTTTGCTGCATGCACCACACAACCTGTAGCTGGGCTGAGACAGTAATGCAATCTTTCATGGCTGTGCTTCCAGTGCTTGTACCGTTTTTAACATCCTGCCACTTATTCCTGCCCAAAGCAGTCACCTGTCATGGTAATAAGACATTTTCATGTAGTCACTGGCATGTCATCTATGCTAGTGATTTACTGATAAGATCCTTCTGATTATACAGGTGGGAGGTATTTTATTCTCCTAGACCAAAGCATTCCTTTCTCTCAATATTTGACCCATCTGTGTGTGAGGCTACTACTAACTTACCTACTAGGTTACCTCTAAGAGGGACAACCAAAGCAAGCAAATACCTGCAAGCCTCTGCAGTGCTCAGGCCAGTGTAAGAACTCACACATTCTCCAGCATTCTGGGGCTTTCCACCAAGCAGTATGACAAATGATCCCTCATTGAAGGGTGTAATGGACAGCTAGAACACTAAGCACTGCGTTTAGGTCTAGGAGTAGGGCTCTCTTAAATGTATGGAAAATGCTTGGATTTTAGTTTACAAAATAGTCTGACGCAGATCTGATCAAGAAGTGTGCAGATCACATCAAGAAGTGTGCGTTAGTACCCTATAAATATCAAAGCAGTGACTACTTCTTATGATCAGTCTTTGAATTGCAAGCCTGAAAAACCCATTAATGATGGTCATTCTTCAGGTATTTAGCACGGTAACTTCCACCTTTGCGATCCTGGCATCTCTTTCAGGGGAAAGGTTACCTCTCAGAAAAAGCTTTCAGGCTTTGAAATAGCTAAGCATTCTTTCAGAGTATTTAGACAGTTCAGGTGTTTGCTGCACTCCCTTCAAATGTATAAAAAGAAGTCCATCTCCCAAGAAGCATGAAACCCTAAGCAATGTAGCTCCTGGAAACCAACAGATTTAATGCATGGTAATAGCAGTGTAGATAAATGTTTCTGTTGTTTGAAATAAATACATCTGTCAAAAAATAAGATAGAGGCAGATTAATGGGATAAAACATCCCTGTGGGGGTTGTACATCTTCAGGGATTAAATTCCCTAGCCTACACAAACTGATCCCATTTATAAGTAGAGGGGACCAGCAGAAGGAGCACAACTGGTATACCTGTTTAGCGAACACCTGCAGAGATTAGTAAGAACTTTACAAATGGATTAAAGAAGAACAAAACTATCAATGAAGTTTAACTAAAGTAGTTTTCTCAGTTAGCCCTTTACTAAAGAATCAAAAGCCAGGTTAAATTTAAGAATGTAAAGAATTTAACCTATGTTAAAACTTGAAAAATATATAGTATTCAAGATATAAGAAAGCAAAATATGTTTAAAAAAACCCCAGAAACTGACATCTGGTGAATAAAACCCAAAGATACAGGTATAAATGGAGAGGAACTGAAATACATCCGTTTTCAATACTGTAAAAGAAAGCTTTGGAGTTTGCACCCTTGTAGAATGTGAAGTCTCATAAACAAATCTAACAGGCCTTTTAGCCAAACCCACTATGAAATACATTCCAATTAAAAAAGTTAAAACATACCCAAGTATTATTCATCGTATTATGCAAACATCTAAAATGCAAAATTTGGCTCGGCAAGTCGGACAAGGCACTTGACTTGACAGCCAGGTCTCTGGGTGCTGCTGATCCTGTCGGCTGGCAAACCATTTGCCCATGCAGGTGAGGCACCACATGGGACGACAGTAGCACTGCTGGCACTCCCCTTCATTTGGCTCCTGGCAGTTCTTGATGAGCTTGATGTTAGCAATAGTCTGCATACACCCTATGCACGGCTCCAGCTCCTAAAGGAGGAGAAAACCATCAAAATTATGAAGCGCGCAGAATGGTTTCTGTTACTGCTCCTCAGAGGCTTTTAGAAAATGATCTGCGCACAAACACATCAGGAACCAGAGTTGGGCAGGGCCTCGAGGCTGAACTGCCCCACCAGAAGATACCAAAATCTCCAGCACTGTGTTTTATTAGAACACCCTCCAATAAATGAGCACAAAGTATCTCTTTAAACAGAAAGCCCCAAACTGCTGCATGAGACTGATAAAACAGAAATGACTGAAAATACAATGTTCTTTCGTCTCTGAAGAGCTCCCTCTGTTTCCAGATCGGAGCAGCCACAGCAAGATAAACACGCAGCCATCTTTATCATTCAGACAAACTATTTTTCAAAAAACACACCAGTGTAAAATAAGGAAAATAAACAAAGCAAACCGTTCTTACCACTTACAGCAGCAAATGGCTGTTCCTATCTTCCATCTTTGTAAGAGACATAAATAACAGAGGAAATTGGGACTCTACTGAACCCAATGGGCACTCATCTTGAAGGACCAGAAATTTACTTAATTTTTCTTGGATAATATTGGAATAATTAATATTTCTCCAGTGTTAATTAGGCCACGGGAACCTGCTGTTGCATATAGGGAGATCATCTTGCTATAAAGTGTTTTACAATTAATAAACAATAATTAGCATTTCCCATGTGTCTTCAAGCCAGAGTTCTCCAAGAACTTGACAAAGTTCAACAGACAACACGCTGAACAGGCATGGAGACCTGAATCCTATTCATACTGCTACTACTGTGTAATAAAAAGCAGCTCAGATTCATGGTCTCCAGTTCCCCCCTCCCGTGTCTCTTCCCTTGTCAGCTGGTGTCTGTTCAACCACACTGGCAGCTTGACTGGGGAGCGCATCATCTTTCTTTGCCTCTCTTCCTTCACCTTAATATTTCCCCCAGCCAGATTCACTGCAGAGGAAGTCTTGTAGCAACATGGGGATGGGGAGAGTGCAGGAAGTGGGGCTGCTTCTTTCAGAAAGTGTTACCAGCTTTCAGCTTGTGAAATTAGGACTTACCTTAGTTTTCAGAGAGGAAAAACTCTAGCATAGAAAGATTAACTAACTTTTTCAACTTATTCATGGACTTGAGAATAGGGAAAATTCCCTATCTCAAAAAAAATCCTAGTCTCAAATTAATAGTATCTTCTCTTTAGTTTGAACTACTAGTGGTAGTATTATTTTCATTATGTATTACTAGTATTATTGGTATTATTAGTATCACTATTTTATTCATTTATAAGCAATTACTAAATTGCTCTTATCTCAACCCATGAGTTTCCTTGTCTTTTCCTCCAATTCTCCTCATCCCACTGGGGGAGGGGGGAGGTGAGCCAGTGGCTGTGTGGGTCTTGGTTGCTGGCTGGGGTTAAGCCACACACCACAACAGTGACTTCTCTTAATAATTCACCTGTGACAGGCCTAAGTAAATAGATCTCGATTACACAGTGACCACGGTGTCACCTATATTGAAAAGTACAGTTATTAGTGTCTCACATGGATGGAAAGTCTCACCTGAGTGCTTGGAACAGGATATGACTGGTTTATTTCCACCAGAGATGTAAAGGTTTCTAGAAATAAATCACTAAGGCTTTGATGGATCACAACATTAGCTGCATTGCTGATGGGAGCACGGAGTTTTTCTCGGAGCTCCCCATACTCTGTGGAGTTTAACCTGAAGAAGAAAAGATGACACAAAATGTTACCATAATTATCCATTCAAGTACCTTGATAGCACATTGAGGAGGTTGACGTCAGAGAAGTGAACGGACAGAAAAGTTATGTAGGTTGCTACATACTAGTCAAAATAAATACATAGTGAGCATTTTGTTTTCTTTGGCTGCTTAGCTGTTGTTGGTTTATATAATATGTTGTTGGTTTTGTACTATATCACATGGTGATATAGTACATATAAGTATCAGAAAAATGTCTATTAGTATCCCTTTATGTGATTTTATGATACAAGTTTAGTAAACCCTAAAATTTCACAGAGGTGGCAAACAGCTGCTGAATGTGACTTACACTTTAAGGCTGTAAGAAGCTGCATTTCACACTGGGTTGCTTCTGTTAAATTAAATCTCTCTAAGCAAGGCCCACAGACCTCCAGTGGCACAGGAGACCTTGTGAAGATCTGGTAGTGACACGTTACTGTCCTGACCCCTTTTTTAATATAACAGTTCTGACCTGTAGATTCAGAACTCCCCAGCTCGATGTTTCCACTCATTAAACAGCTTTCACAGAGAAGCCCTTGGAACATTGCCCCGAAATTCCTCATTCTTCCTACCACGCGCTGAGTTCCCGGAACCCGGTACAACGAAAGGCTAGCTTAGCTTTAGCTCCCGGTGGGCTCCATTGTTTTACCTATTCTAGGATAATGCTGTTTGCTAACAGATGCTATCTGTGCAAATAACAGAGATCTTTCTAACCAGAGGAAAAATTCACATTGAACACGCAGGGAAAGGTGGCCTACCTACACAGCAGCGTTTTTCTTCCAGAAACATCCCACTGTACCTAATTCTGGATATATATAATGATCCTATATCCTTAATAGGGGAATTCTGTCCTATGGCACTTTCCTTAAATCCTGTATAACTGCATTATAGCAGAGATTTTCTATTTCTAACACATCTTATTGTAATAACTTTTAAACACTCTTCTTGGCACTGTTCTGTTTAGCCACAAAAGAAAATTGGGGGTTTGGTCTTTTTTCCCCTAAAAGGAATTGCCAAAGAACCTGTTATTTTCTCAGCTGGGAATGTAGTTTTATCACTCTGGCACTGAAGCAGTTGCAGAAGAAAAGCATTAGTTGTTTGGTCACCACTCTCACAGGTCTGTAAGTCTCTCTCTTCTTAGGACTGTCACGCTTACGTTAACTAACCTCTCGTTCTGAGCTGTGTTCACCTGGATATCTAACACAATCACCTCTATGCCTTCCTTGTGCTTGCCAGGACCCTTCTGCCCACCTACCAGTCTGGTGATCTGCCTACTTCTAATTACGTAGTAAATAAATGCTTCCGATGTACAAATTTACAGCTAACAGACACCTTTTCAAATATATAGTATTAGGAGCACTAACATGGCTTTGTGTACCCCTTTTAATGTCACAATGAGAACAAAGACTTTAGCACCATTGTAATCAGCGTTTCAGGTTTCTGCAGAACTTGTACTTTTGCCTAGATACACAGAGACTGCTGAAAAAAAAATAGCATGGGGCCTTGGAAAACAAGCCCTAACATTTCACAGCACAGTTGCTATGATTTAATGCTACGAGAACACATAAATCAGAAATGGACCAAAATTACTTCCTTGCTTTAAGGGCAATTGGCTTGCAGTAGCTCAGCGCAGAACTCAGCATTAAAACTCAGCAGCATTAAAATTATGAGCCTTGAGCAGGAGAAATAAAAAAAAAAAAAGTCATGGCTGAAACCCAGCCAATTTTAGACAAATAACTATTTTTCCTCCCCTAAAATTTGGAAGACCAAAGATTTTCCCTTTCACTTCCATTCCCCATCTTTCACCTAAATTTTTCCAATTACATCCTTCTGCATGCAGAACAATCCTCTTCCTAATAATGGATCAAACAGGGCAGGCCCTCTGTTTAACCACTGTGCATTCAATACTGTAGGTGTATGAATCTAGATTCTAAACAACCTTTCTTCACTGCACTGCATGGCAGAACTGCACATACAGCATCTCTGAACACCAGGCAGGGAACAAAAAGGAAGGGACGAGACCCCAGTAGCCTTCAGGTCCGCCAGAAAAGCACTCTACTGACATCATCAAATACCATACATATAACAAAACAGGGTAATTGCTTTACCGGATATCAAATGCTTTCACGTAGGGATTAATACTGGCAACACGGATGGTGAGGAACTGCACAGGCATATTTGAGTCTGGCGTGAGTTCATGCTGTCTGGAGTCTGTCACTGTCAAATGAATGTCCTGCTGCTGGGCAACGTGTAAACAGTAGGTGGTCACTTTAATCACCCATGTGTCCGTAACAATCACCCTTGCTCCTGGGGCTCCAGTAGCAAATTTGTCGATTCTTCTAAATTCTGTATTGATGGAAGAAGCAACTGCCCTCCAACCTGACTGCGGGAGAGCATGGACAGCTAGTGTTCGGGCTAACGGATGATTATTCCAACCTTTCTGTGACCAGTAATATGCCAGGGCACTGGTGACTGCTGGAAAGAGAACAGCGAAGAAGAAGAAAGTTTTCCACCCTTTTGAAGCCAGGTAGAAAAAACAAAGATGTTTTTCAGGTGCAGCAAAGCACATACCAAGGTAATAACCTGCAAGGAAAAAGACTTGCTTTCAGAAAGCGACTAAGTGCACGCATAAACACATTCCCCTGCACCATAGTTATCTACCAGTGAGCTCACCTCCAGGAGAACCATTGTACTTCTGGATGCCAACTCAAATTCAAACCTCCTGTCCTAAGCAATCTGAGGTAATTTCCTACCTGTCACTGATTTTTACCAGAATTACATAGGTAAAGGAAATTGATTTGAATTTGAAGGTTAAATTAAATTACCTGTAAGATGCCACTGCTACTAGAATTATATACCTAAATGAAGCTGTTTGAATTTGCTGGTTGAATAAAGTTGCCTGTAACATGTCACTTGCTACTCGTTGTAACTGCACGTACTCTGATGCAGCCAACTAGTTACAAAGCTTAGGGTGCTTGTTAAACAACTAAGTCTAAGCAATACTAACGCACTGTATTTCCAAGACGCATACTGTGACCCGATCCACCCGCACCTGCCTGCACCCCCTAGCTCCCGCCCGGTCGGGGGTCTCGCCGGACGCAGCAGGTTCCCGGGTGCGAGCTCCCCCCGGCAGCAGGCTTGCCTTGCACACCCGCGAGGGTGAGAGCTGCCGTCTCCCCGCGGCGGTACCCCCA